TCGAACAAGAAGGAGAACAGGGTAATGAGATTAGAATAGAGTCCTACTTAATTTGGCATGTAGAAAAATGTGAGGAAAAACTGCCATCTATTCAAGATGAAGAAAAACTCTGAAACAACATGTTTTGTCACATTGCCAGTTTTCATCCATAAATGTGAATGAACAATTATGTAAAGACCTAGACACAGAAATGAGTTGGTAGTAAAGGGTACATATTCAGAAAATTGAAGAGAAATTCAAATACAATAAATACAAACATAAAAAAAATATGAAACCTCTTTTTCTTTTCAGGTTTTACAACCTTAGGGCAGCATTTACATATATAATTCACCCATTTATGGTATACTAGTCAATTTTTAAGCCATTTCCATAATCATGTTTTGGAGTATTTTCATCACCCAGTAAGAGTCTTTGTGCCCATTTGGTTAAGTTTTTTAATTTGTTAATATTATTTTAATTGCATATATTTATGTAATATACTGTTATATATACATACAATCTGTATTAATCAAATCAATGTAGTTAGCATTTTCATCTTCTTAAATGTTTTATTTTTAATTAATTGATAACTGATACATAAAAACATTAAAAAATTATATATATTAATGGGGTACCATGTAATGTTTCAATTGTATACATGTATACATTGTTTAATGTTTAAATCTGGATAATCATATTTATCTCAAGCATTCATCATTTCTTTTGGTGAAACTTTCAAAATCCTTTCCTCTATATTTTTTTTTTTAAATGTACAGAACACAGTCTCTGCAATAGCACTCCAGACTTTTTTGTTCCTGGGTAAATGTATAATAGTATCCATTGACCAGCCTTTTCCATCCCTCCTTTTATTCTCTCAGACCTCTGGTAGTAACCAACATTCTATGCTCAACTTCTAAAAGATCAGCGTTTTGGGATTTCCCGTATGATTGAGATCATGTGGTACTTTCTGTACTTGGCATATTTCACTTATGAGATCATAATGATCTCAAGCTCCATTCATTTTGCTACAAATTATAGGATTTTATTTCTTTTATGGATGAATCATATTCCATTGAGGATATGTACCACAGTTTCTTTATCAGTTCAGCAGTATATAGACACTTGGTTTGTTTCCATTTCTGGACTGCTGTGAACAGTTCTTCAGTGAACATGGGGGTGTTCTTTGTCTCTTTGTCAGACTGATTTCTTTTGATTTAGATATGCATCCTATAGTAGATTGCCAGATCATACATTGGATAAACTTATTGTTTGATGGCAGTACTAATTTACATTCCCACCAACAGTCTATAAGAGTTCTCCTTTCTCAAAACCCTCACTAGCATTGCTTTCTTTAGTCTTTCAGATATTAGTCATTCTAACTGGGGTGAGATGATAATCTATTTGTACTTTTGACTTGCATTTCCTAACAGCTAATGAAGTTGAGCATATAGTCATAAGTGTATTGGACATTTGAATTTATTCTTTAGAGAATACTTGTATCTACTTGTATCATTTACCCATTTTAAAATGGATTATTTGTTTCATTTGTTTGCTGTTTGAGCTTTTTCAGATACTATATGTTCTGGATCATTTGCCTTAATCCTTTGTCAAATGCATAGTTCGCAATTTCCCTTGCTTCCTATAGGTTGTCTCTTCCTGGTGTTTTTTCTATTACTCCACAGAAGCCTCTTAGTTCAATGAAATCCCAATTGTCTATTTCTGCTTTCATTGCTTGTTCTTTCATAGTCTTGCTCCTACAAATGTTTTGAAGCATTTCCTCTATTTTTTTCTAGTAGTTTCATATCTTAATTTGGGTCTTTGATCCATTTTGAGATTTTCTAGTATAGGATGAGAGCTAAGGATCACATTTCAACCCTTTTCTTATCAATATCCGGTTTTCCCTGAACCATTTATTGAAGATGTTATTTCTCCAATGTATGCCTTTAGAATTTTTGTAAAAAAATCATTTGACTGTAAATGTATCAAACTATTTCTGGGTATCTTAGTCTATCCCGTTGGATTGTGAAGTTGTTTTTATTCCAATATCATGCTATTTTGACTACTTCAGATTTGTAGTATATTTTGAAATCAGGTATTATGATGCCTGCAACTTTGTACTTTTTGTTCGATATGACCTTTGCTATTCAGAGACTTTTGCAAATTCTATCTGAATTTTTAAAGTTTTTATAGTTCTATGAAGAAAGTCATTAGTATTCAGATAGAGATGGTTAGCGCTGTTTGCAGATGATATGATTCTGCATGTAGAAAAACCTAAATACTCCACCAAAAAATTACTAGAACTAGCAAATAATTTTAGTGAAGTTTCAGGAAACCAAATCAGTATATTGATGTAAAAATCAGTAAAATTTTATACACTAAAATGTTGTTACTGAGAAATATATCATGAAAGTCATTGCATTAAAAATAGCTCCAAAATAAATAAATAAAATACTGAAAAATAAGTTTAACCAGGAAGTGGAAAACTTCTTCTACAATAAACCCCACAAAACTCAGATGAAAGAAATTGAAAACAACACACACAAAAAATGAAAAGTCTTCCTACGTTCATGGATAAGAAGAACCAGTATTGTTAAAATGTCCATACCACTAAAAGCAATTCACAGATTCGACACAATCCCCATTTATTATTAAATCCCATTGTCATCCTCTGCTCCAGACCATTAATGTATTATCTGTGTCTGTATATTTACATTTTCTGGATATTTCACATAAATGGATTCATACAACACATGGACACTCATATCTTGCTTCTTTCACTGAACATTACTAGAGTTTCTCTCTTGTAGAATGTATGCATTATTTGCGATCATAATCCATAACACCTACTGAACGACAGAGGATATTACATATAAAACAAAAGAGAAGGATATTATGAAAAACCAACAAATAGAAACTGAAAACATTTGGGATGGTGAAATAAAGATATATTAAAAAGACATATACATTAAAGCCAAAGAATTTTCCTGTAATAGTAATCACTATTACCAAATTTTTGTTCTTTCATATCTTTGATTTTTTTTTCTTCTGTGCCCTTAGATAATTTTTCTAAATAGAGCTTTTAAAATAAAAAGCATGTTCATCCATAAACAAAAATATTTTGTATAAAGGAAATTGAAAAAAGAAAAAAGTAATCATAATCTTGTCTCTCATTTTTATCACTTAAATTTCCATGCCCTATTATTAACATAGACTTGAAAAGCTTGGCTTCTAATAACTGCCAAATAGTCTACCCAGAAACCATAAAATTTTGTAGAAATTTTGACTTGTTAGATATTTAGAGCATGCCCATATTTTCTGATGTGTAAATAAATGCATAATGTATATTACTGAGTAAACATTCTAATTACACACTGTTTCCTTCAGTTAGATTGTCAAGTGAACTTTCTGGATTGAAGAATATAGAACCTTGTTATATAATATACCACAAATGCGTTAGTGACACAGAAATCTAATTTGGGGATAGTGTTGAAATGCTTCTTTTACTACATTTCTCAGATTTGAGTACCAGACAAATTACATGATATAATAATTTGCTTAAATGTTGACAAATATAAATTTATCTTTCTACATAAAAACCAAATGTTTGGGGCTAGGGTTATGGCTCAGCGGTAGAGAGAGCTCCTCGCACATGCAAGACCCTGGGTTCCATCATCAGCACCACATAAAAATAAATAAGTGAAATAAAGGTATTGTGTCCAATTACAACTAAAAAATAAATAAATATTTTTTAAAAAGTTTCTCTCTCTCTCTCTCTCTCTCTCTCTCTCTCTCTCTCTCTCTCTCTCACACACACACACACACACACACACACACCACACAAACATGCATGAGCCTGCTCATAAACATGAACACTCCAAAATATTATGTATTCAATTTCTGTTTTCCAACATGTGCAACAGCATAATTTAAGGTTTAGGTGGCATTTACAGGAGTCTTCCCAACCTTCCCAGGTTGGTTCAGAAACCCTTCTTAAATACCCCTAGAGTCGTCATATCTGGATTTTTCTTATCAGATTACAGTTAAATGAACTGTTCCTAAAGCTGACTTTCTTTTAACCACCAGTTTTGAAGTAACACGAAAGTGGACATCTTATTTAATTTATATCTCCAGTCCCAATGTCAATTACATAGTGCCTAAAACAATTTACTCATAATGTCTGTCGACACAAAAAGAACTTCAAGTTTAGAAGAGTGGGAATTTAGACATTTAATCATTATTTTACCACACTTCTTTTTATTAGAAAACTAAATTTTAGAAATAATTCTGCCATTTTTTTTTCAAATTGACCTATTTTGAAGATAAATTTTTAAATTATTTCAAGTTTAAAAAATCAAAGCCAGTTGAAGTTTTATTTCACTTATAAAATTTGGAAAATTACCTTTATAAATATATTTATGGCTATGAAATGATGAAATCCAAGTGTGAAATGTTCATTTGCCATATTTTGAGAATCTAAATCAATGCAGAAATCTTAAAAGTACCTTTGAGATATGACTTTCTTCTTTTTGATCTTCAGTGGGAATATTAAAAGGGAATGGGGTTATATTAAGGAATCCTGTAATTTATGTGAAACTGGTCCAGTTTTGTGTGCTCATAGAGATTTTTAAGTCAGTGTTTTGACTGATTTGTGTTTCAGTGTATAGATCACCTGCTTTCTGCCTTCCAGAATTCATAAAAACTATTTTCTGCCTGAATATGACTCTTTTCTTTTCTTTTTTCTGTTGTTATTTTATTTTAGGATGATTGGGTGGTGATTGAAGAATAGACAAATTTTCCAATTTGAAACAAAAAACTTTAACTGTTTAAAAAAATGTAATTTTTAAATTTGATATTGACAATTGGATACTTTTGATTGTCAGAAGGAATTTCCTGATAAAATAGAAAATGCTGCTTAACCATGGGATTTTCACTTCATGAGACTATTTCGTTTTAATTTCAGGAGGCCTTATTAGCTTATCATAGAAAATTACCAAACATGCCATTCTTTCTTGCTTTTATAGAGATTTGCTTGCTGACTAAGGGACGTCGCACTGCCAGTGTTCGAGCTGATACATATTGTCGTCTCTATTCCCTTTCGGTGGACAATTTCAATGAGGTCCTGGAGGAATATCCAATGATGAGAAGAGCCTTCGAGACAGTGGCCATTGACCGACTAGATCGGATAGGTACTCTTTACTTTTCTAACTTCTTCATTAAAAATTTAATTTTCATTTTGTGGCATAATATAAGTTTGCAATCATGTGTCCCAAAGGCTAGTTCAGTGCTTGTTATATTATGTAGAAAAGCAATTAACTGTAGCCATTTTTCTGGAGAGTTCTGAGGTCCTATCTTTCCTGTTTTCTGGGTTTACATATTCACATCTGTTTTTACCAGTGACTCAATCTGATATACCATGTGATACCAAAATAGACTGAATCTTCAGGTAAAAATTATCAATACAAATTCTAGAGAGCATTAAAATAGCACCAAAAATACAATAGTATGAGTCTACATTACAAACCAATTTTGTCACAAGGTTCACTTTTTGTCTTGATATTTTATCCTTATATTAAAAATTGAATACTTTGTATTTAAATTGTTACCAGCAGAAACTTATTGAAATGTTTGTAATACAGACTCATGTAGAGAAAGCATTGATGAAAGTGCCCAAACTAGATATTTTACTTTGCAAAGCCAGTGTACACTCTTTAGTGCTACAAATAAAAATATATAAATTATTAGTTATGCTAATTTGTGATTTGAATAATTGCCATAGTAAAGTTAGATCAGATTGGTTTAATTAACTTTTCTAAATATTCTGGAATATTCTGACATGTTATACCGTGGTATACATTCATTTTCCAAACTTGGACCTTCTTTGCCCATCTACCCTCATTCCCACCTTATTTCCACTCAACCCTCATATCTGTTTAAAAATCACTGCCTTGTAGAAACCTTCTCTGACCTCTCATCCCCAAGTAGGCTGAGTTCCCTGATTATGTTCTCTTATCTGAAGTGCCCCCATCACAACACTTTCATTATAGTAACATACTAAGCTTTGTGAATGAAAGAGATCATGTCTAATTAATCATTACATTCATAGTACCTGATGCCCAGTAAATATTTGTTGAAAGGGGGGAGGGAGCGAGAAAGGAATAAGTGGACTTAAAGCAGATGGAACTGGGATCAGTTAGAAGTAAACAAAAGGTACCTCTACTGCTTCATTCTTATTAAAGGAAGAACATAGATTGATTTATGGTTATGTCAGTATTTTTTTCCTGCACTTGATATCTTTCTTTCCCTCTGTATTATGGAATAACAGACTGTATAAACATCTGAAGCTTGATTAGGAGAAATAAAGGGAGTATTTAGATATTATCATTAGATATAACAAATGTATTAGAAATTCATATTGACAGCTGAAAGAATTTATAGAACGTACTCATCCATGAGATAGTAGCCATAAAAGTAGGCACTCCTGATAGTATTCATGGAACTTGAAAAGAACTTTGGTTTTTGTGGCTTGAGTGTTCATGTTAGACCCAGAGACTGATTTCTGAGTATGAGGTTTTCCTACACCAGCTGGACATCTTCAGATAAATCATGAAACCTAGGGTATTTCAGTAGAGAATTTCTGTTGATTTGATATAGCTTCACATTCATCTAAATTATTTCAGCTATTTATTTAAAATCAATTTTGCATGAAATGGTGTGCAATAAATTATAGAGACAATAAAATTCTTAGTAAGCACAAGTCACTTGCATGTTGATCTTTATAAAATTATAACAGCACATAAAAATTATTTTAATTTTTCCATTAGATTAGGAAATGCTGGCTATTCAAATGGTCACAGAAAAACATTATCCATCTCAGTTTTGTGACCATTGCTTAGAAATGTACACTGTCATTCATTAAGGGAGTATGCTAAAAAAGCATTTGTATTTATTATTCATATAGGATTTTTGTTCTTTGGTTAATTAGTACAGTTTCTTTAAAAAAGAGAGACACCTGTCTTGGCAGGAATAAAAATGATTGCTTTTTTAGTAGCCAGGAAAATTTTAACACTTTCATTTTGAAAAATGCACATTATTTCTTTTGATATGATACTTTATTTAGCAACATAGCAAACTAGTTAACTTTTCAGTTATCAAATTCACTTGGATTATGCGTTTTCCTTTTTTCACCAATCCACTAATAATTCTACTTCTTAGTCTTCCAGCAAATCTCTAGTTATTTCAAACCATTTCAAAGATGATGACCGGAAGAAGAACTAAGATTTATTGAGGTCCTTAGTGTGAGCTGAGCACCTGCCACACTATACCCCTGGCCTTCACAACAACCCTTTAGGAGAGGAATGATCACAAGATGGTTCTCACCTGGCTGCACATAAAGATCCCTTGGGGAAATTTCCTTTTAAGGCACAACAGTCTAGATCCTGTCTGAGTCCAGAATTTGAATTGATGGGGTCTTTCAAGTTTGCTGGTCATTAGTACATATTAAAGCTCCAGAGATGGGAGAAATATGCAGTTGGAATTGAGAATCATTGGTGCTGGACATTGGTCAAGGACCTGATATGCTGCTCCCTAACCACCCTGGAGTCTTGTTAGAATGCAGAGGCAGATTCATATATGGGGGCAGGCCAAAGAGGCTGCATATCTAGAAAGCAATTAGATGACAGAGATGCAGCCAGAGTGCACAATCACATTTCTTCTGTTTCCTTCCTACCCCTGTTACATTCTAACTGTGTTTTCTTGGGCACTGTACTTAATCTTCCCATGCCCAGGTCTCCTTTCTAGTGACAATGGGATTATTATGACTATACATATATCATAAGGTAGAGGATGAAATAAAATAATGTACTGAAGTCCTTTGTAGAGCAAGGCCTCACATGTTTGCTGTTATTTCTCCATTGGCTTTTCTTGCATGAAATTCAAATCTCCTTTCTAGGTTCAGCCTGATCCAAACGCCCCTTCTTCCCCCATTCTTTAAGATAGCTCTAGTGTTAAATAGCTCCATATCTTTCATACACTTTTCCACTTGACTTGAATAAAATTTAAGATTTACCCCGCAGATACAGGAAGTGCACAAGGCAGAAGCTTCCTTTATATTTGCTCTGTAATGGGGAATTCTTGGATATTGCTTGTGAGTGATCCTCTTATCTGATCTCCTCATCAGTCAGGAGTAGACTCCATAAGTGCCTATCCTATCTTTTTTCTTTTCTCTTTTTTTTTTCCTTTGTTGATAGGCAAGAAAAACTCCATTCTTCTACAAAAGTTCCAGAAGGATCTGAACACTGGTGTTTTCAACAATCAGGAGAATGAGATCCTGAAGCAGATTGTGAAACATGACAGAGAGATGGTGCAGGCAATCGCTCCAATCAATTATCCTCAAATGACAGCCCTGAATTCGACATCTTCCACCACTACCCCAACATCGCGCATGAGGACACAATCTCCACCGGTGTACACAGCGACTAGCCTGTCTCACAGCAACCTGCATTCCCCGAGTCCCAGCACACAGACACCCCAACCATCGGCCATTCTCTCACCATGCTCCTACACCACTGCGGTCTGCAGCCCTCCTGTACAGAGCCCGCTGACCACGCGAACTTTCCACTATGCCTCCCCGACTGCTTCCCAGTTGTCACTCATGCAGCAGCAGCAACAGCAGCAGCAGCAGCAGCTGCAGCAGTCCCAGGCTCCGCAGACTCAGCCACAGCAGCAGCAGCCACCACAACAGCCACAGACACCCAGCAGCTCCACACCGAAAAACGAAGTGCACAAGAGCACGCAGGCGCTTCATAACACCAACCTGACCCGAGAAGTCAGGCCCCTTTCGGCCTCGCAGCCCTCGCTGCCCCATGAGGTGTCCACTCTGATCTCCAGACCTCATCCCACTGTGGGCGAGTCCCTGGCCTCCATCCCCCAACCCGTGGCAGCCGTCCATGGCACAAGCCTTCAGGCAGGGGGCAGGGGCACAGTCCCTCAGCGAGTCACCCTCTTCCGACAAATGTCTTCGGGAGCCATTCCCCCCAATCGAGGAGTCCCTCCTGCACCCCCTCCACCAGCAACCGCTCTTCAGAGGGAGCCTTCCTCAGTCTTAAACACAGACCCAGATGCAGAAAAGCCACGATTTGCTTCAAATTTATGATCCCTGCTAATTGTCAAAGCAGAAAGAAATACTCTAATAAACTGAGAGTATTCTCAGATCTTATTTTATTCTATCTCCTGATAGATCCCTATAGCCTACTATGAAGAGATATTTTAGACAGCTCTGGCCTACATGCAAAATGTAAAAACATATATACATATACTATTAAATATATATCTAAATTCCCAAGAGAAGTTCAAAAGAACTGTTTAGCATTCAGTGTTATATGTCTTCCTTTCTTTAAATCATTAAAAGATTTAAAATGTTGTTGTAAGATTATTTCTTTCTAATGTACTTTTACTTAATTCTTTGGGTATATGTATTTCTCTATTTTATGAAGAGTTCTTGGATTCAATGGGAACAAAACTATTGATTTTAAAAAGGCAACTCAAATGAGCTCTGGAATAGCACCAATCAAAATTTTTATTCATTAGTTGTGTCTCTGCATCTAAATTTTCAATCATTAATTATGGAGGATTAAATAATAAATCCCATTTTATAGATCTAAATTGTAATTTGGTGCTTTCAATTTTGAATTAGAAAAAGAACACATTACATGCTTGGCCATTGTAGGAGACTAGCATTGCCACTGTTAAAAGACTGCCTCTAATCTCAAACATGTTCATTGGTCTTTCAGAAAGCTGAGGGAATATTTCTCTTCATGTGTTATTGGACTTTTACCAAGACTCAATCAATGTTAAGCTGTAAATATTTTTTTGAACCCAAATAAAAATAGCTATTCTGTGTTGTATGAAGGTAAAAGTCATTGTTTAAGGATTTAGTTTTATTGCTTCACTTCAAAACTTAGAGTTTTAAATTTTACAAAACAGAATTGTGACAATTATTCAATTGTAATGCAATGGCTTGAAACCTACAATATTATTTTAACCTGCAACGTTTAATGTATGCTCGAATCTACAAATTGCTTGTATTACACCAAAAATCATTACTTTTCTTCCTTCTTGCCATGATCAAGCATCTGAAAATAGTCCCTGCATGCTTTTGGGGGGGGAAATAATAGGTTCAAATCATTCATTGTAAGGGAAGGCTTACAGTATTTCTCATTTCTAGAAAAATATAAAAATTCATTAATTGCCTATCTTAAAATTCTTGTAAGGCTGACTTGGATTTCTGACTTAAGTCTAGAAGTGAGGTTTTTCATTTTCATTTAATATTATTGCTATTATTATTATTATTATTATTATTATTATTATTATTATTATTTAAGTAATTATTTGTAAACCACAGCTTAATTTGGAGTTGAGAGTGTGTTCTATGTCTTCACTGTAGTTGGTAGTTCACTGTGGTGTTAATTTAAAGAAATAAATACAATATATCGTCATGTCTGTTTGGGAATACACATTTTGCTCTATGTATATTGTAGCTAAGTGGTTAGTAAATCTTAAGGCATGTGGTGACTAACATAGACCTTAGATAGGAAGCTCATTATTTCAAATGTGCTGAAAACAGTATGTACCTGGTGACAGAAAGCTGGGGTAAAGTTGAATGTCTGTAAGCATTGTTTGTTTGTTCGTTCATTTGTTTCCTTAATTCTTTCCATGATCTGTGAGCATCTGCTTCTTCTCAAAGAAGTCCCTTAGTAATCATTTGTGCCTAATGCATCACAAAAAATGTGGTGGATGACTGGAATGCTATGGAAAGATTCCTAATGTCCAACTTCTGCAAATAACCCAAATAACGAAAATGACCTAAAGTGGAGAACTTCAGTACCTCTGACGCTTACGGCACATTGAAGAAGAACTTAAAAAGATCACACATTATCTGGGACAGGGCCTCAAGACTGAGGACAGAAAGCAAAAGTGGATCCATGCTGCCTGTTATGCCTTTTATGGATATAATACTTATAATACCAAAATGAGATATTATGTTTAATTTCTAACAGATCCAAACTCATGTGGAAGTGATCAACAATGCTAGTCAATATATTATCATTAATATGCTGGTGACAAATGATGGTATGTCAGGAATGGCCTGAGAAATGAATTAATTGTTCAGCCTACCTAGAATCTATGGGAAAGCTGCAAGATCATTTAAGTATCAGTACAAAACTCCTTTATTTCATTAAAATATGAGAATTAACTTCAATTTATTAAGATCATGCATTGCTCCTTTAAATTGTTAAAGGTTTTACATTTGATAGAATTAATGGGTTTGGTAGTGAAATATTTTTATATATATGAATTTTTGGTTTTTTATTTTGAGCACTATTGGGAATCATAAGCAAAATTGAATTGCATGGTCTTTCAGTGCAACCATACAATTTTTATTCACTTTATAATAGAATGGGAAAAAAAACCCTAAGGTTTATATGCTAACCTAAACAAGGTACAGGGTAAATTATATACATATATATGTATGAATGTATATATACTTAGGTTAAGAAAAAAATTGACTCACATTTCTGTAATATAAAGGTTCATTGCTAGTTGACAGTGACCTCTTTTTCTCTGTACATAGTTAAGCCCACAAGTATGGAGTTTTAATCTGTACAGAAAGAAATGTATTATTGAAAAGATTGGCCTTTTTGCTGCTGGGAAGATAGTAACATAGCTGATTCCTACAACAACTGTATGATCAGGGATGAGTTAGAGTATTTCTTTTGTCTTTGCTCAAAGCCATACATATATAAATATATATAAAGATTATTAATAAATTCAACAGAAAATAAACTAAAATCATGAATATTTTATTTTATCAGTATCCTCTAATCAAATGTTTTGTTTTATTAATGAGTACAAATTTGCCTCTGTCTTCCTTTATTTATATCATATGATTGCCAAGAGGGCTTCTAGTTGAGAATCATCATAAGATTAATTATGGATGTTCTATAACTGTTGAATGAAAGGAATTTCAATAGAACTTACATTTCCCAACTATCCTTTGATTTTACTCTGCCACATAGTAAAATATTAGTTTTTAAAAATATTTTTTTTTGTTCTGTACTGCCTTAGCATGCGGTTGTTATCTAATCTGAAATATCTATTTTTTGTTATTGGATATGAGGATGAGAGATAATTGTCATGTAATATACATATTCACAACTATTTTGTTACATGTTTTAGGCTTGCAAAGGCTTTTGGATAGTGGTAGAATTTTTTCATACAGTAGATTTTTAATCAGACCTAAAAGCCCAAGAATAAGATTTTCATGATGAAGATAAATAGCAAAGAATACCTGAAGACAATAAGAATGATATAATTGGCAACAGATTCTAATTATTAAATACATAGCACTTCTCCAGGTCTCCATGACCGTCTCTCCATAAGCAAATGATTCCCTGATGAATGATGTTCCACTTTTAAAAGATGGTTATTTTGCATTTTTATGGACTTAAATGAGCATTAGTATTTTCAGAATACTATAAAGTATACAATCAAGTTATTCTGATAACTCCTACAGGACATGGACCACTTAAAAATGTGATGAATCTAAAAATTTAAATGTATTATTTCAAGACCTGAATCATTTATACTTCAATGTATAAATGATCTCAATTATCTTCAGTATTATTTTAAATATCTCCAGAACTTCTCTTTTCAACTTAGGTTTTTGTATTTGATAATTATTGGTTTGTACCTATGGAGCTAACTTTGATTAGTTATTATATTAAGTGACATCAATTAGATTTCTTTCCCTATTACCTCCATCATTTTAGAACATTTGCCATAAAACCAATGTTATTTTGTTCATATGAACTACACTTAGCAAAGTTTTATTACATGCTAGGCTCACATAAAAAACTATTCATGCTATAACATGAATAGAATAATTGGATGCTGAACTAAATTTTGAGTTCTGAAAAGAATGGTCAGAAATTCAAGGAAGTATGATTGGTGGCATGCACTAAATTGTAGCTCAGTTCTATAACTTTATTCAATATATTCTGTTTGCAAAAAGAGGCTGGAGATTTTCCTGAAAGTGTTCACTGGTGTATTCCAGATTACCTGCTACTGTCCTGTGAAAATACTAACTTTCAAAGCAATTTTATTTTTATTTTTAAAATTTATTTATTTATTTATTCTAATCAAGTATGCATGACAGTAGAAAGCTCTTCAATTCATTGTACACACATGGAGCAGAATTTTTCATTGCTCTGGTTTTGCAAGAAGGAGAGTCACACCATTTGTGCAATCATAAATGTACCTAGGGTAATGATGTCCATCTCATTCCACCTGTTTTCCTATACCTTTACCCCCTCCCTCCTCCCATTTGCTCATCCAAAGTTCCTCCACTTGTCCCATGCTCCCTCCCCCATTGAATTAGCATCCACTTAACAGAGAAAACATTTGGCCCCTGGTTTGTTGAGATTGGCTTATTTTGCTTAGCTTGATATTCTCCAACTCTATCCATTTACCTACAAATGCCATAATTTTATTCTCTTTTAATGCTGAGTAATATTATATTATATACCACAGTTTCTTTATCCATTCATCTATTATCAGCTTTTATCCATTCATCTTTATCAGCTTCTAGGTTGCTTCCACAGTTTAGCAATTGTGAATTGTGCTGCTGTAAACATTGAAGTGGCTGCATTACTGCATTATGCTGCTTTTAAGACTTTAGGATATAGACCAAGGAGTGGGATAAATAGGTCAAATGGTGGTTCCATTTCAAATTTTCTAAGGAATCTCCATACTACTGTCCAGATTGGTTGCCCCAATTTGCAGTCCCACCAGCAATGTATGAGTGTGCCTTTTCCCAAAATTCTTGCCAACACTTATTGTTGCTAAAGAAAATTTAATTCTTTCCTTTTTTAAAAGTGATATCTGTTTCTTTTTAAGCAGGTAAATGATTAAGGTTATCATGAAAGGAACATTTGATTCCAAAACGAAGAAAGAAACTATAAATGACTGCCTAAATTCATGAAAGATTTAGGAGCAAATCCAGCCAGAGTATTCATCTTCCTCTTCTTCCTATTTTGGAGTTTTTCACCAAAGGCCGTATTCTTTCTCTCTTCAGTGATAATTTATATTTTCATTAATATGTGCCATTTTGTTCTTTCTCACATTCTTATCTTTAGGGTATGAAA